TATATATATATATATATATATATATATATATATAGTATTGCTACTTAGAAGTAAGCCTCATGGAGTTCGGAAGAACTTTTATTCTTAAATAATAGGGTACAGAATTGCAGCCTTCTTTGGCTTCTGTATGGCTTCAGTCCCATAAATACGGTAATTACTTCTTGCTCCACTTCCTTCCTATTCAGTTCAGTAGATTTTCTTTCCAAGTAAACAAGCATCTGATCTGACTTATCATGGGTGCTTCTCATCCTTTTTCTCTCCAAAGTACGGTATATCTCTGAAGCACAAGGGATTGTGATGTTCTGGACTTAATGGAGACAATATTGTTGCATTTATTAGATAAAGTGGGGTAAAATTAGCAAGCTAGTGAGGCGTAGTGGTCCAAGTGCTGGACTATGATTCTGGAGACCAGGGTTCGATTCCCTGCTTGGCCATGAAACCCACTGGGTGACCTTGGGCAAGTCACACTCTCTCAGCCTCAGGGGAAGGCAATGGCAAGCCTCCTCTGAACAAATCTCGCCAATAAAACATCATGATTGGGTCGCCATAAGTTAGAAGTGACTTGAAGGTACACAACACACACACACACACACACACTTATAGTTATGTATGCACTGTTTAGTAGTTGTGGATAAGGTAAGGATCTCTCTTTTAAATTGTTTTGTTGTTGTTGTTGTTGTTGTTGAGTGCCTTCAAGTGGTTTCCAAGTTCATGGGGTTTTCTTGGCAAGATTTCTTCAGAGGCGGTTGTGCCCTCTGAGGCTGAGAGAGTGTGACTTGCCCAAGGCCACCCAGTGGGTTTCATGGTCGAGCGGAGAATCGAAACTTGGTCCCCAGAGTCGTAGTCCAACACTCAAACCACACTGGCTCACGTCTTTTAAACACTTTTACCTACATCTAACATCACTTCAAATGCCATGGTAGACTGAGAGGTAATACATAAATGCCTTCAATAAATGCAAAGAAATAAATCCTAGGATCTGTAGTTTGCAAAGGGACGCAGAATTTTCCCCTAGAAAGAGAGCCCTGATGCACTCCCTTGAATCCTAGCTCTCTAGCAGAAAGGTCTAGGTCCCTCCCGTAACTACAAATCCCAAAATTTCACAGGACGCAGTCATGGCAGATAAACTGGGATCAAACTGCTATATTCACATCTACTACACAGTGCGTATATATAACAGTACTTGTGTGTGTGTGTGTGTGTGTGTGTGTGTGTGTGTGTGTATGTTGTGTGCCTTCAAGTCGTTTCTGATTTCGGCAACCCAATCATGAGGTTTTCTTGGCAAGATTTGTTCAGAGGAGATTTGCCATACGGTTTTTATGGTTTTAATTGTACTATTTTAATTGTTGTTTTAATGTGTTT